ACACCAACCACAAGGGAGAAAAGTGAGAAGAAATCCAAGACACAGAGAGGCAGCTGTCTCCAAACAGTCCATCGAGGAGGCTCTGAAGTCAGCAGCAGACCCCCACCGCCCGGGGGAACCCCCCCCCCCCCCCCCCCCCCAAGAGCTTCAAGATCCCTGATCCGGCCTAAAAATAACAGCAGCACACCTTGTTCCCCTTCATTTCACCAGCAGCAAAGTCCGTGGGGAGGCTATTTTTAGTCTCCTTAGGTTAAGTTTTGTTAATGCAGTAACAGTTTGCTAACAAGGTGGTTTACAAGTTAACTCCCGCGGAGAGGGGGGACATCCCTGGGACCCGGCACATCCCTGGGATCTGGAACATCCCTGGGACCCTGGAACATCCCTGGGACCCAACACATCCCTGGGACCCAACACATCCCTGGGACCTGGCACATCCCATCCCTGGAACCCTGACATATCCCTGGGATCTGGAACATCCCTGGGACTCTGGAACATCCCTGGGATCTGGAACATCCCTGGGACCCTGGAACATCCTTGGGACCCGGAACATCCCTGAGACCTCACACATCCCACCCCTGGAACCCTGACATATCCCTGGGATCTGGAAAATCCCTGAGACCCAGCACATTCCTGAGACACAGAACATCCCTGGGACCCAGCACATCCTTAGGACCTGGCATATCCCTGGGATCTTGGCACATCCTTGGGACCCAGCACATCCCTGGGACCTGGCTCATCTTTGGGACCTGGAACATCCCTCCCGGTACATCCCTGGGACCCCAGTACATCTCTGGGATCTGGAACATCCCTGGGACCCAGAACATCCCTGGGATCCTGGTACATCCCTGGGACCCCAGTACATCTCTGGGATCTGGAACATCCCTGGGACCCAGAACATCCCTGGGATCCTGGTACATCCCTGGTACCTGGCTCATCCCTGGGACCTAGAACTTCCCTGGGACCCGGCACATCCCGAAGACCCAGCATATCCCTGGGACTTTGGCACATCCCTGGGACCCGGAATATCCCTGGGATCTGGAACATCCCTGGGACCCAACACATCCCTGGGACTCAGCACAATCCTTGGACCTGATTCATCCCTGGGACCTAGAACATCCCTGAGACCTGGAACATCCCTATGACCCGGCACATCCTGGGACCCCAGCACATCCCTGAGACCTGGAACATCCCCTGAACCCAGCACATCCCTGAGACTTGACCCCGTCTGGGGTGCAAACACCCCCATTCATCGCTGCCGCTGAATTTTCCGGCCCTTCCCGGGTAATTAACCAGTACAAATCAACACGTTTCCCTCGTTAGCAATGGCTACGTTAAATGGACCGCGATGACGGGCTGCCATGGGCTCACACATCCTTGTATCCACCAAAAACATGGCTACACACGGTGGATTTCTCCCTTTTCATGGGAGATGGACACTGGTTTGAAAGAATAAGATCCAAGGATCTTTTCCTCCTTGGGGATCTACTCCATCTTTGGGAACAACTGGAAAATTAGGCTTTTTTTTTTTTTTTTTCTTCAGCCCCCTGCAAACACCTGCAGGTTCTGCTTTTCTGGTGGCCCCCGTGACATGGGAGGCTGCTTGCTCCCCGCTCGCCACGTAAGGCAACCAGGGGCCGCTTCCCTTTGCCAAATTTTTCAGGTCCATCAATCACAATGTCCTTGTCTGCGATGTTCCCCCGTTCAGCAGAAGGCTGTTATTTTGGTTTGAACCCTCGGCGGGCACCAGCCAGCCTTTCCCCTGGAAAACCTGGGATGTGGAAAGCGTGGGGACGGAGGGGGAAGCGTGACAGCCAGATTATTTTTTTTTATATATATTTTTTTTATTTTTAAAAGCCGCTTATCTATAAATATAGGAGAAGAAAAATAAATATTTGGATGGCACTGGGGTGTTTGGATTGGGTTAAAAACGACTTTGCCTCCCTCTGCTATTTACTCAGGTCTCAGCTGCGCACGTGGCCGGCTGGATGGACCCCGGGGATGGGGAGAGGGGTGAGAATTAGGGATCCCCTCCCCCAAAATATATGCGTGGTAGAGAAATGACAGCAAAAGGGAATGAGTGACCCCACGGGGGAAGCTCCTTCCACTCTCCCTGCTTGGGTACGGGGGGGATGGTGTTTTTGCCGGGGCAGGATGGGAGGAAATTCATTTAACACCCCCAGGAGTTAATGAGAAACAGCCCCGGATGCTCTCCTGAAGCTGGTGCCACCCCCCCTTTCCCCCTCCAAAAACCAGTAAAACCACTCGGTTCCGGTAAAAAAAAACAACTCCCCGCCTCGCCAAGCACCGCAGGAACAATCATTAAACGAGCTCCTCGCAATCATTACCCACCACCTCCCCTGTCCCCCCTGCCCTTGGCGTCCCCTTCGGGGCAGGGAGGGCTCCGGGGGGGGTTTGAGGTTCACCCTCATGGAGAAGGACAAAGGGACATCCCACCCCCCCGGCAGTACTCACACTCCTTCATCATGCCGATGTCCACGCAGCGCTTCAGCCGACAGGCCTGGCAGTGCCGCCGGTTGTCCTTGGTGATCTTGCAGTCACCATTGAAGGGGCAGGTGAACATGGCTTTCCTCTTCATGCTTCTCCTAGGGAAAGGGAAAAAAAACATTTTGGGGGTCAAATCAACCCCGTTTTGGCCACGCAAAAGGGTTCTCCAAGCACGGAGAGGAGGTGGAAGCACAAATCAAGGTCTCCAGAGGGCAAACTGGTGGATGGAGAACCCTAAGAGGGTGCTGGAAACATCTCAGGTGGTTGTTCAAGGAGGCCACGTTGGAGAAGCCGTACCTGGTTGGGGGAATTTACCATCTTCCAGGTTTGGGCGTTGTTGGACGGCACAGAAAAGCATAACTTCTTACAAGGAGACAGCCCAGGGGGGTTCAACCACAGGTTAACCCCCTTTCTGGCTTTCAAAGGGGTGTTTTGAATCACAGAATCCCAGAATGATATGGGGTTGAAAGGGACCTCTGGAGATTATCTCCTCCAACCCCCCCTGGCCAGAGCAGGTCCCACCCAGAGCAGGTTGGATTCATCCAGGGGGGGTTTGAATGTCTCCAGAGAAGGAGACCCCACCACCTCTCTGGGCAGCCTCTTCCAGGGCTCTGCCACCCTCAAACTCAAGAGTTCTTCTGTTCCAGTTTGTGCCCGTTTCCTCTTGTCCTGTCACTGGGCACCACTGGAAAGACCGGCCCCATCCTCCTGACCCCCACCCTTGATGAGATCGCCCCTCAGCCTTCTCTTCTCCAGACCAAAAAGTCCTAAGTCCCTCAGCTTCATTCATCCTGGAGAAAAGGGGGCTGAGACCTTCTCACTCTCTCCAACTCCCTGAAAGGAGAATGGAACCAGGGGGGGTCGGTCTCATTTTCCAAGAAACAAGAGGAAACGGCCTCAACGTTGCGCCAGGGGAGGTTCAGATTGGATATTGGGGAAAATTTTTACGCGGAAAGGGTTATCAAGCCTTGGAATGGGCTGCCCAGGGAGGTGGTGGAGTCACCATCCCTGGAGGGATTCAACAGTTGGGTTGACGTGGTGCTTAGAAACATGACGTGATGGTTTTGGTCAGCGTTGGGTTGATGGTTGGACTCGATGATCCAACCCAGACAATTCCATGATTCTATGCACGAAATCAGGGCTGAGATGCTCCATCAAGGGCAGTTTCTTCTCTACTTTTGGGAAATACCATGTTTTTTCCTTTTTTGGGGAAAAAAAAGTTACCAGTGACTCTGCCATCAGTGAGCGAAGCTTCTCGCCGGATTTACAACCCTTTCTAAAGGCGTCGCTCGCTTTAAATGAAGAGTTAAAACCAAGCCCTGGGGACTTTCTGGGCTGGAAAATCCAAATGAAGGTGTTTGGAGAAAAAAGGAGTGGAGAAAAGAGGGAATTGGGGTATAACAGTGAGAAATCAGCTGCTGAGTTAACGCTGGATTTGAGAAAAAGCCTCCTGCTAGGATTAAAAAAAAATAAAAAAATTGCTTTTCTAGGAATAAAATGAGCCAAGTGGGGGGTGCTCCACGCGATGTGCCCCCCCCCACTCCTCCCCAGCCCAGCACTGGCCCCCAGCCTGCGCTTTTAGGGTATAAATATAAAATCTGTACCCGGGCTGAGGAGCCGAGCGGCACATAGCATGCAATTAGAGGCTATTTTAGAAAGGGAGATGTAAACACGGAGGCTTTACTCTCCCTTCACCTCCCCGATGAATAAATGCATTGAGGAAAATTAATAAGGGGGGGGGGAAAGGTAGAGGAGGGGGGGAGAGCCCTCCGTAACCTGTCTTAACACAGAGAAATTCCCGTTTCCCCCCAAAAATGGCTCAATTTATGGCTTTTCTTGGGGTTTCCTCCCTTCCACCAGGACATTGATGCTCCCAGGAATGGGGATAAACGTTGAGCTCTGGGGAAAATCAGGATTTGCAACCGGATGCCCCCAAATCTCCCAGTTTTAGCGCTGGGATCTGGCTTTGAGCCGGGGGGGG